GGCCTGTAAAAATAGAGACTTTAATATCCACATCATTCACGAAATAAATATCATTAAGCTGCATTGATGCAATCTGCGTCTTAAAACTTTGAATATCAATGCTATTAAGATCTCTATATGTTACAAATCTAGGCTCTATTTTATTATAACAAACAGAAATATCATAGTAAGTGAGCCGATGGTCACTAATTGAGTGTGCATTGAGTGTCCCGGACCTTTTGACGATAGTATTGTCACTAACAAAAATTGGATCAAGTAATGTGGAACTGAAGGCTGTAACACGTGTAGGCTCATCAATGACTTGAATGAAATTCAATGAATCAAAACGGCTGCTGAGGATATTGTTATGAGCAAGCAAGTCGGCATTCATATCCCCAAGAATATAATGTCATATTGGGGAGTGAAAATGAAATAAGATTTTCTAAACACTGGATGGCTTGAGGTATAGAGCAATGTAGTGGCCTATATATAACAACAATTAACATACTGGACCCGTGCAGTTTGAATTTACAGCATAACGTTTCAAGAGGATTTATAAAGTCATCGAGCGCAACTGGGATAAGATTAGTGCTAATATCTAATTTAACATAGAGACTGATGCCAGCTCCTCTGCTCCCACGGTCCTTACGGAAGAAATTATACCCAAGTTTATTGACTACAGTACTGTCGATACTAGAATGCAGCCATGTTTCAGTGACTGCCACAACATCAAACTTATATTGAACAAGAGAGGAAACATCATTAAAGTGAGCTGTTAGAGAATGCACATTTAAGTGACATAGTTTCAAGACACTTTTTATTGTATTAGCCATAATCCACCCTTTCTTTTAGAGTTTGAACATAATTGAGAAACACAGGACAGTTTGGAAAATTAGCCGAATGATCAACTGGTAGTCTTCTTGTATACCTTGTTATGCTTCAGGCAGTTTAAACATTGTAGGGCGCTCGAGTTACACTCCTTGATTTTATGATTGCGCGTACACCTTGGGCAGGACAGATCAGCTTTACAAGATGCTTCAGAATGGCCAAACGAACAGCACTTGAAACACTTTAATGTGCGAAAGTGATCAGAGATAGGTGACTTTTTCCAACCAATATATAAAAACCCTGTCTTTAATAATTCCGATCTTAGAGTAGGAGTGACTTCAATTACGATGTTGATTCCGCGGGAGGATTTGAGCTTAGTGACAAACTTAAGTAGAGAACCATCAATGTTGTTGAGAGAAGCTATGTTCGAAATCAAATCATCAGGATTGTCAAGACCATCCAAATTAACGTTTCTTATAAGCAGGCGTGGATTCTTAGCTTAAGATATTGAATATTTAGAACCCTATTTATTGCAAAGGTTATCTTTCAGTGTGCTCAGGGAACTGCCATCTTTGCAGTCCATAGCAATACCATTACGAATTTTTCGAGTATTATTGATGCAAACATTAAGGCTGGCTCGATTAACAGAAGACTTTACTTCAGTGAGAATGGAATTCACATCTGCCTCGTTATCAGCCTTAATCAGGAGGGTCGAAGAAATTAATTTATTTCTCTTCACTACTTGCTCGGTCCAGGAATGATAGCGGATTGGTCAGTGCTAACAGAAGGCGAAGAAATCTTCTCATGAGACTCAATGACAGATTTTTGAAGGGACACTGTATACTGCAAGTCATCAAGAGGGTTCTTAGTTATACTAATTTCACGATTCAGTTGATCAATTTCCCGCTGCATAGATTCAATACCGATTATAGTAAGAGACGCTTTTGATTGCATTACAATTTGGCAATCGCTGCATACCCAGTGGATGTTATCACAATCTGAAAATATTTTAAGCCAAGCATCTTTAAACGAAACACAATGGCAGTAGAATTTATCGCTACATAAGCAGCATTTGACAAGTTTGGTTTTAACAATGAAATTGTCCTCTCAGAAGTTACAGACATCTACATCAGGTGCCATGACAATTGCATGGACCTAATATACCTGGACTATCTATTGGGAAAACGAATGAAGAATGTGTTTTTGCTCAGCTAAGTACAAAAATATATGTGCAAAACTGAATCTACGTGTTAGGCGATTAAGAGTTTTACCGCACAGGTAATAAGGAAAAAGAATCCTGCTTGCTACAGGTTCGAAAACAGCTGAACTATTCAATAATACACACGCATACACACTTCACATAACAAAGTAGAGATTCAAAAAATTTTCACGGATGTTCAACCTAAAGTAATATCGCTCACTTTTTTTGTGTATAAATTCACTATGTCTCATTATTTTCTGAATACTTTTTCGAAAATCTCACTTTTCTCAACTAAATTAATGCTTTGGGCCACCATCACCCCTGCCAATAGAATGTGATGCTATAACTACTAAATAGTAGTAACCATACATTCAAAATGCCAAAAAAACGACAGAAGGGTGGGGCATTCAAAGCGAGCAATGACTGCATGAATGCTCGCTCTGTAACATGTGACATTACATCTCGTAACGTCGGTCAGTTCCCTACCCTATACATATGAGGTAAACTTAGGCTCACATTCTAAGTACATGGCATAGAAGAACTTATTATGTCATGTCAAAACTGGCTATGGTTTAAAACAAAATTTGATTGTTTTAGTGAGCCAAGTTCTGCCACTCCTTGCTTGTAAAATAAGTTTAAAAAACGCAGAATATATATTTTTTGAGGGCTATCACTTTAAATCTATAAAGTTTATTTCAGAAAAAATGTTGGTATCGTCTTTTATTTTCAAGAGGCCAAACATTGGTTACGTTGATGTTGCTGAATATTGCTCACTATCAAATGGATTGAGAAATATATATTATAGCACAGCTCAATATATCCTTTTTCACATGCATGACTTCTGTCAGTCAGTCTGAAGGATTTCAATGTTCTTCAAAGTGGTCAATTTAGATAATGTATGTATAGCCTTTTTGACGAGTCTCCATTACAGTAGAATGACAGCGGACTATGTAGTAATATTTAAAAATTCCCTATATCAGCAAAACGACAGATCATTCTGACGGATCTGTGAATGCCAGGTAGACAGGGCTATATTTTGTTTTGGCTTTTTGTACGTTACAGTTTCATTTTGTACTTGCTTAAACCTCTTTTATTTAGAAAAGTTCATTTGCATACAAAAAACAAAATGTTACAAACAAGTTTTAATATATTTACACCCTGTTCATTATTGCCAACGTCGCAGACCAACACAAAACTGCCACTTGCTGGTCAGCTGTTCATCTCCGTAGATGTGAAAGCGTGATGGATGCTCATGAAATAGGGTACATCTAGTAGACTAGGCTAAGCCATATTTCACTCAGCTCAATCTTGTAGCAACTATGTGGAACTGAAAGTAACATTGAAATATGTTTCCTATAAAAACAATGAATATATTTTCTAAAATTCATTAATTTTATTCTAGGTTTATATATGGGTTCAATGGGGCATGCACCTACAGAACAAGAGCCTGTAGACAAGTTCTACAAATCAAGAGAAAATCGTTCTAAGCCTCCTACACCAACTGGTCGAACCCCCATCTATGATTTTGATGAATGGTCCAAAAACCATTATGGTGCTACCTTTAAAAAGCAACAAGAGAATAGAGAAAAAGCTAGGATGTACCAAATCCACAGGCAAATGCATAAGGAACATGGTGTTAAAACAGACACAATTTTTTTCATGTTTGCCCTGTTGACCCTTGTCAGTATGTGTATTTCATCTGACTATGGTTATGATCGAGTACCAAATAAAGATAAAAATAATGTAAATAATGCTGAATTGAAAAAGTGATGAAGGCTATATTGTAGACAATTTTAAATTTAAATCATGCTAGCATTGTTTACAGATTCTATTTTTTTAAGACAGATTGTGATAGTTCAATTTGTAGGCTATGAATATCTGTGGTATGTTACCATAAAGCAAATGTTTGAAGATTTTGAGAAAGACCATATAGAAATTCAACGTTCTAGAACGTATCCTAAAAAAGATATTTGAATATTGTATATGTACAGATATTTATTATCCTTTGTAAATATGTCTAAATAGAAAGTCTTATTCCATATAGTCTTATTTTGGTAGTACTAGTACCAATGTGACATAATCACCTTAAAACCTTGAAAATAGCATTCATTAGCTTCAAAAAAGTATCTTGTTTGTATTTTCTTCATTTTCTATGAATGAAAAGTGGCACAACTGGACCACTTATGTTCGACCGTAAAATTTCGCGGCTAAGCTGTGTCGTAATAATTTTCAGCAGCAGTAATAAGCGAAATTGTCACTATTGGGCACCAGAGAATCCAAGGTAAAAACACCAAAGGCCTCTACATAGCCTAAAAGTAACTGTGTGGTGTGCAATGTCGGCTTCAGGAATTATCGGTCCGTTCTTTTTTGAGAACCAACGTGGCATAGTCCAGACTGTAACTAGTGATCGTTATTGTGCAATGCTTCGGGAGTTTTTGGTACCCCAGCTACAAGTATTTGATGGCTTTGATCAAGAAACCACACATACAGCCCGAGCATCTATGAAAGTCGTTCGAGAATTATTAATATAAAAGGTCATCTCTCGCTTTGGAGACTTAAACTGGCCATCTAGGTCTCCAGATCTCACATAATTGGATTTTTTTGTGGGGATACCTTAAAAGTAAAGTTTATGTTAATCGGCCTAGGACTTTGCAAGAATTAAAACAAAAAATACATTGCAGGAGCGTTCTACCGGAATGGAAGGCTACTCCACAATATAATTTTTTAAAACATGAAATCCGCCTATATTGTGTGCATTTATGCTTCAATAAATCAATTTTAAAACCTCAAGACAACTTATTATGTATTAGCCTTTAAAAAGGGAAATTTATTCCTGGACACCCAGTATAATCACTGTGAGAAAGTGAGCGTGATTCTCTTCCCTGGAGAATGATACCAAATTCTGACAGTTGTTGACATTTGTCAAACAAGTTTCTGCCTTGGTGGAAAATCTCAGTTTCATAGCATACAGTTATACCCGTACAGAAAGTCATGTTTTTTGTTATCCATATATTTTTAAAAATACATAGTGATACATTTCATATTGTAAAGCATAAAAAATATAGTCAAAAAATCATCTTCTGTTGCTTCAAAGCAAAAGTGTTGCAATACTTGGGCCTCTGGATTATTTTGTAAGCATCCCTCAATTTCTCAAAATCATTTGCGCTGCACTTGAGCTGGATTTTCATTTTGTTCCCTGTGATACCAACAGTTCTTGGAACAAGTCCATATTTATCTATTAGGGCAGCTTTTCTAATTTTTGCGTCACTTGAATAATGGTCATAATATGAGTTTTGTTGCTCAAGGCTCCTTTGATCCATAGGGACGTTGCAAACTATGCATCTGAAAATCAATTACTTACACAACACGTATTGATATTTGAAAAGTTGAATGATGTAGTTTAGTAAATGGACCCTCTTTTGATCAATCATGTGAGGTCATTGTACGGGAATGATGTATGAAATGTCCTATAGTAGCACGGGTCTTTACCAGCATTATAATTTTCATACATTTGGTTTTAGGTGAAAAACGTTGCACTGTCAACATTTTTGAGAACCTTTATGTAATGGGAATATTTATTCCGGCAGCATGCGACTCACGTGGTTCTCACGTTACATTTGTCTGCTTTTTTAAGTGCGACTCGTATGAATTATGTTTTTTTTACCTGCTTTTTCCATACAAGTCAGTATTTAACGGCTGAAGTAACGCCGAATCATCCAATTTGAACTGATAGGTACAGATGTGTTCAGGCGCCTCTTTTTCAAATTTTTCAGAAGAGTGAGTTTCAAAATAGTGTTCATTCCGAAACGCTTTCAGATCTTCCGAACTTGCCTGGGAAGTAAAGTAACTACTTGTCTGTGATGTCCCTGGTTTATTTGTGCCTTAAATGATTCGTTTTTTTATACAGAGGTTATGAAAATGGGCTGACCGGGTGAAATCACCACCCTCAAACATTGTAGAGGATTGTATGTCTAGTTTTTAGTGGAAAATGTATGTTGATTTTAAGAAGTGTGCGGTGGACAATTCAGTCTGAGTGATTGAGTAATGTCAGCTGACAAGGTCGCATCCTGATTTGTATTTTCGTTAGATAAAAGAAGTTGCAAGAAATTTATTTTTATGTTTTGCTACTGACTTTTAAAACGCATAGTAGTAAACACTAGATTCACAAAATAAGTATGGAGCGGAATTTGAAAATAGAGTGAAATATTTTTATATAAAGTGTCATAGCCAGATAGGTGCATTGCAAATGAGCTTTTTTGTAACCTTTCACATACCGTAAATCATTGTAACAGATTTCTCCAAATTTTTCTCAGAAGCGTCTGTCATCACTGCGGAGTCTAGTGGTTTGTCATCTTCGCCCCTATATCGGTTGTAAGCTTTTCTTTGTTCAGTATAATCAAATTCTTCATCAGTGTTAACGGTTGTTATAAGCGTGTTGTTCAGACTCGATGAAGAAGGGTCAATCTTATCTGGCATGTGTAAAATATTATTTTTTTGTTGTATATAGAGTTTATTATTTATCTATTATATATTCAAACCTCTTTTACTCCACGTCAAAATAAACAAGGTCACTCCATCGTCGCTTTTTTTCGCTTGTTGCTGCCACCCACAGGCATTTATGACCAGCTGACCAATGGAGCGCGCAAATTTAAACTTCGCGCGCTGTGTTTTAGTGTGGAATAAATGGGATTTGAACACACTTGAGAGACGAAAATCAGTGTGTCACTGTCTTTGCTTCACTAGAGCTGGGCGGGCTGCACCGAAATCTACAGGTTCTCCCAGTGATTTGGGATTTTCAAATGAAATTTTACATTTTAGGCAATAATTTTTATCAAAGACAAAACGTGGTGGTGGTGCGGTATCATCAAAGCAAATAATGTACTTTTTTATTCTATTATTATACCGAAGCAGCCGCGTAGACAGAAGCCTAAATACCAGGAGCGTAAAGAGAACTTGTTAATCCGATTTTTGAACTGCCTATGGTTAGTAACACGTTAATAGAACTGAGAAAAGAATCTCCAGGTAGATGGTTCCACAATCTCGACACCCTGTGGACAAAGGAGCGATCATATCGGCCAGTTTTGGATGTACGAAGTTCGACACAGTAAGGATGGAATGCCGAAGACATAGCAGTAGAGTCGTCCCCTTCTGAGCGGGGCCGTGGCAAATGTTTGTTCCGTAAGTTGTTGTATCCAGTATACAACTTCTTCCCGTTCAAGTGATTGTACACGCGTTAAGGAATACCTCAGTACCGATTTCCGGCTGGCGGTACAAGTCCGCCAACGGGCCACTTTAAGTCTATTTAACATCACTAACACGTAAAAAGAAGTTGGTAGACAAGGACCAGCCGCCCGAGGCAGTACCACCCGCTAGCTTTTCCCAGTCTTATAAATGTCCGCATGTTTCCACACCTGAGCTATGCAGTCGGTTATCTTCCAAAACAAAGAAATTAATGATGATGGATTGTTCGACCACTAAGAACTCCGGACGTAAACTCGCTCCTATCTCGGAATGTCCGGGTGGAGGGTGGGCTCGAGGGAACAACATCGACGATAACATTTGTTTTTCGAACATCTGCGGGATTAACAGCAACATTGATGCTGTTCATCACTACCTGCAATCCAATCGTCCCGCCGCGCTTTTCTTGGCGGAGACACAAATCTCAGAGTCTGCACCGATTAACCATCTTAACTTCCCAAACTACGAGGTGCACTCCAATCTGAGAAAGAACGGGGGAGTTGTGGCTTTTGTCCGCAGCAGTCTTTCCTGCTCCAGAGATGTTTCTTTGGAATCAGACCGGAAGGACATTCTGTGGCTTCGCCTCAACTCCAAAAGATCACCCAAATTTATTTGCTGCCTTTATCGCTCTCCCTCGGACCATAACTGGGATGACCTACTCGAATACCTCGCCGTCCAGATCGAGTTCCTGAACATCAATCATCCCGCTTCAGAGATAGTTCTTCTCGGTAATTTCAATGCCCATAATGAGCTTTGGTTGGGCTCAAACAAGACCAATGCAGCAGGTCGTGCACTCGAAGCGTTCGCTTTTACCCATGGGCTGACTCAGCTGGTGAGAAGCCGTACTTTTTTCCTCCGCGTCTCGTCACACGCCAGTAGCCTGCTGGATCTCTTTCTGACCACGAATCCTGTCCCTTACAGCACTGCTGTCCTGTCCCCCCTGAGTAACTCAGACCACGGTGTTGTGGAGGTTAGGTTTCGGTCAGAACCCGCTGTGGCAGCAGAAACTCGCACAGGCCGCAAAACTTGGCATTACGGACATGCCGACTGGGAGGGGCTCAGAGACTTCTTCTCTAGCTGTCCTTGGAAAGATGTCTGTTTCACTGACGCGGATGCGCCGGCTGTCTGTTCTTCAATAACTGAAATTATCAACGTCGGAATGGAGGAATACATTCCTTACACCGTGAAAGTGCCTAGATCAGGGTCCAACGGCTGGTTTAACAAATCGTGTGACGCTGCTCGCCAGCAGAAGATCAAGGCACACAAAACCTTCTTACAAAACCCCACTATAGAGAACAGACAAAACGACGTTGAGTCCAGAAACAAATATAAAGCAGCGGTTCGCAATGTTAAAAACCAGCACGATATAAAAGTTAGGCACAGGGTAATGTCGCAGCGCAATGACAGTCGGTCTTCCTGGATGCTGGCCAAGCAGATTGAAAAGAACTTCGCTCACAGTAGCTCACTTTCGTGTCAGGATGGAACTATTGTATTCAACTCAAAGGCCAAGGCGGAAGTGCTAGCCAAGATCTTTGCTGGCAACTCCACCATGGACGTCCCCCCCAACGCCCAAGTGCTGTCAAATCAAAGGGTTCCCTACTCTATGCGGGAGGTAACATTCAGGCATAAGACCGTAAGACGAGTGCTCTTGTTGCTCGACATCAACAAAGCTTCTGGTCCGGACTTGATTCCTGCCATTGTACTGAAGAGATGTGCACCGCAGCTTGCTCCAGTTCTTTCGCGCCTCTTCCAGATATCTTATGAATCCGGCACCTTCCCAGAAAACTGGAAATTTTCTCATGTCCAACCCATCCCAAAAAAGGGATCTAAGACCGACCCTCATAACTACAGGCCTATAGCTGTGCTTTCTGTTTTAAGTGAGGTGATGGAGAGGTGAATAAATCGTGAGCTTCTGGACTACCTCGAACGTCACAGCTTGATTAGCGACAGCCAGTCTGGTTTCCGGCACCAACAATCCACAGGGGACCTCCTAGCTTACGTCACTCAATTGTGGAGTAAACTAATCCAGTCTTATGGTGAGGCTCATGTCGTTGCTCTTGACATCACGAAAGCGTTCGATCAGCTGTGGCACGCTGCCCTCAAGCAAACTTCCATCCTATGGCCTACCAGAAAAGCTTTGCAGATGGGTGGCTGACTTTATCTCTGGCTGCAAGATATCCGTCGTAATTGACGGGTTCTCCTCTTCATCCCACAACGTCAACGCGGGTGTTCCCCAGAGATCGGTCTTGGCTCCGACACTGTTTCTCTTACATATCAACGACCTCGTTTCCTGCACGATCAACCCATTCCACAGCTTCGCTGATGACATCACTCTACATGGTGACAAGCCGATCTCTGCCGCTGAGTTAGAAAAAAGAAGACTAGCGATGACTTCCTCTTTGACAAGACACCTGGAGGCTATCACTGCTCGGGGACGCAACAATCTTGTACAGTTCAATGCTTCCAAAACACAGTACTGTACTTTGACGAACAAAAAGCGTCCCTGCGCTCACCCGGTTTCGATGGATGGTCGAGTTCTGCCAAAGAGCCATTCATTTCGGCTGGTCGGAGTCCAGATCACCGAGGACCTGATCTGACACGAACACATCTCGTCAATAGCTGCAGCCGCTGGGAAAAAGCTAGGTTATTTGTTTAGGGCTAAGAAGTACTTTTCTCCGCATGACCTTCTCACTCTATACAAGGCCCAGATAAGGCCTAGCTTCGAGTATTGCTCACACGTTTGGGGTGCTGCCGCCCCGACTACATTATCCATGCTCGATGCTGTCCAGAGGAGGGCGGTCCGACTGATCGATGACTCTTCTCTAACAGACAGTCTCGGGACTATTTCGCACCGGCGGGCTGTCGGCGATCTAGCTCTTTTCTACCGTTACACCAACGGGCTTTGCTCCTCAGTGCTCTCTTCCATGATGCCGCCGCGCGATGTGCCATCCAGACGGACTCGCCTGACTTTGGCGTCCCACCCTAGAAGTGTCGAACCTCGTACATCCAGAACCGGCCGATACGACCGCACCTTTGTCCCGAGGGTGTCGAGATTGTGGAACAATCTACAAGAGGAAGCATTTCCCAGTTCTATTAACCTTAGACAGTTCAAAAATCGTATTAATAAAATTTCTTTGGGATTATCATAGCAGCCGCGGTGTTCCGGCATTTAGGCTTCTGCCTGTGCGGCTGCTTCGATATAAAAAAAGGCTAGACCACCGATGGTCCGTCGAAAGGAGCCCGAGACTGTTAGTTAGAAATGAGTCAATGATCACAGCCCTCTGAACAGCATCGACCATGGATAATGGAATTGGGGCGGCAGCATCCCAAACATGGAGACGAAGTTATGTTTAGAAAAGTATTTCTGAGCGTTAAACAAATAGCCTAGCTTTTTCGTTCGTGCCAGATCAAGTCATCGGTGATCTAGACCCCGACAAGCTGAAATGAACGAACGGCTCTTTGGTAGAACTCGTCACTCTAAATTCCTTCATGTAAAGCGCTGCCATCAGCAAAGACAGAGACGAAGTCAACCATCCATCTGTAAATCTCTTGGAGACCATTAGGATAGAAGTTTGCACAAGAGGGCACCATGCCACAGCTGATCGAATGCTTTTGTGATATCAAGAGCAACGACATGAGCCTCACCATAAGACTGATCGTTCCATCCTGATACGTAAGTGGTGAAAGGAGTGTGAGAAGTTCCTTCCAATCGATCTTCCTCGTACTCGTTTCAGGATGTTATTAGACTTCGAGTAGCACTGCTTCCTCAATTTCAGGTGTTCTTACGCTTAGAGGTCTACCTTCAGATGTTCCTTTTCGGACAGAACCAGTTTCAACAAGACGACTATGAATATTAGGAAAGGTTCGACTATCTGGCAAAGCACGATTGGGATATCTTTGGTGATAAATCCGTCTGGCTTGCTTACCATTACCGTCGGCATTTCTGCATTTGAATAATTCACCATCATTAACAAGATTGTAAAAACTAAATAATGAAAAAGATGCCACAACGAACAAATTTGAATAACAGAGACTTGTCAGATGTCAAAAGCCAGTGACATATTCCAGAGCAACTATATATTTATTGCTAAATTGCATTCTTCTATTATTACATTAAATTACTCGGACAATAAAACGGTTTTTATTTTTTTACTCAAAAATGGCGCATCGAAGGAAAACAACTCAGGAGAGTTGATTTGTCTTAATAAATTGAACGGGGAATTCAAAAATAATTTTTATTTGGCAAAAAAACCGTTGGCGTATCATTTTTTTTTAAATATCGAAGTTAATACCCGTACGCACGCCACTGTTAAAGCTGAAAATTATTTTTGTATTGAAAAATATGCAAATTTATCAACTTTCACTACGTACTAAATATCAGTGGAATATCTGAAGCGGTTCTGAAAATATTAATTAATCTCCATTTGTTTCCTAAAACTTCAACACCCCGAGTTTTTGTAAGGAAACATTTTTGGATCATAGTTTATAAAGCAAACTAACATTAATTTTTCATGTAGATTCACACCCTTAAATATTCGCATATCATTAAGGAACACCCTGTATATACCATGTGTGTCATTTTATTTTTTTCTGTTGAAAAGGTCATATCAAGACAATTTTATTGAAACTCAGTAATAAATATTGTATTACAAAGCCAAATTAAAAAAAACCGCAGATGTCACGCAAGTGTGTGCAACTGGCAAAAAAAACTTAATGTCTCTCAAGCGTGACATCAGCAGTGAAAGTGTTAACACTCGGTGAATATAGCTGATGATTAAAAAAAATGCACATCGCGAAGCAAGCAAATTTGTTAAACGCATTATGCAAAATGGGATGAACAGATTCCATCAGGGGGTGCAACGAAATGGAGTACATCTATAGTCAACGCCAAACAAAGTGGCGTGCACGTCATCACGATAAAAATTCCCCGACCTAATGCCTAGGTTTCTATCACAAACAATTGCTCTATTGCAGTTTCATATTAATGTGATATATAAATTGTAAAATGGTCATTACTCTCTTATTATGGTTAATAGTCATATAAACATTGTTATTAAAATATCACATAAGTTGCTTTCTGATAAATTTAGACGCATTATGCGAAATAAAATGTTTTGCAAACGCTCCAATCACTTATCGACATGTAAACGCACTAAACCGATTTCGCAGCGTTGACACATTGTCACCTTGAAACTTATTTAAACTGGGAACTGACATTTGTATTAATTTTGACACTGAATCAATTTGTGGCATTTCAAATCTTTATAAATCCTTTGGCCCCGCATACTGTAAATCAACAACTGTTTGTTTCAAAACAAAATTATTCATTTTACGAGTAGATAAAGGCAATTTTGGTATATAAAGATGCCCAAACAGTTAAATAGTCGGTGTAAGGAACTCGTGGCCTCGTTAATGCACTACTTTGAGCAAGAAAGGGACAACAACGGGCCTTTGTTGCCTTTAAATGCTGTTCAAGAGGTAGGTTACTAATAATTATATGTAATGTATATTAATAATAGTGAAATTTTATTTCATTTTTTGTAGCGTGTTGCTGCTGCTTTAAAAATTAGTTTAAGGACAGTTAGTCGTATTTCCGAGGGTGTGAAAAGTGATGCAAATTTAGAATCGCCCAAGAAAAAGCGGAGTTATATTAAACGTGTAACCAACACAGCGACATTGGATACAAGTGCCATTCGAGAAGTGATCTATAATATGTATCACAAAAGTAAGATCTTATTATAATAACTTATAAGAAATTTGCATTAATTTGTTAACTAAATTATAATGTCATATTACACATGGTTTCAGAAGAACAAGTTACGATACAAACTTTATGGTCTCGATTAAGAGATAGGGCATTATTTGATGGTAGTGCCACGTCTTTAAGGCGGTTGCTTAGAGATCTTGGATTTAAGTGGCTTAAGGACAATCCGCGACGAGGGCTCATGGAACTACCAAGTATAGCTTTGAAAAGGGTGGAATTTCTAAGGCAATACAATCAAGCCAAGGTTGAGGCCTTATACCAGTTTGTCTTCCTCGATGAAACTTGGATATTTCAAAATGGGACCATAGGTCGCTCTTGGCAAAATGGAAACCAAAAAAGCGTGAAAGCTATTAAAACAGATGGTAAAAGGTATGTACTTTTACACAATTTGCACTATAAAATTTAAAACTAATATATTTTAGATACATGATATTACATGCTGGAAATGAAAATGGGTTTATTGAAGGTAGTGAAGCGATATTTTCTTCGAAAACAAAATTGAGCGATTACCATGGAGAGATGAACCAGGACAATTTTTTGAAATGGTTTCAACATCAGTTATTAGAAAAATTGGAGAGTCCATCTATGATTATACTGGATAACGCCCCTTATCACAGCATGATACTGAACAAAGTGCCCAACAATGCATGGACAAAAAAAATATCCAAGACTGGTTGACAAATCAAAACATACCATTTTTAAACACAATGTTTAAAACAGAGCTATTGAGTATTGTTGCTCGGTACATAATGCTTCTTAATTATATATATTTTGGTCGACAGTTTATATTTCTTTTGTTTATTCCTATTCTTAAAATAACTGCTTTTTTAGAAACAAACCACCTAAAATATACGTGATTGATGAATTGGCGGAACAACATGGGCACAAAGTTCTTCGTCTGCCTCCTTACCATTGTATATTTAACCCTATTGAGTTAATTTGGGGCATAGCAAAATGTTACTATAACAGACATATTGGTAGAGATGGTAACAGTGAAAAAGACTGTTTGGATATGTGGAACGAGGCTCTACAAACGGTTACCCCAGACATGTGGAAAAATAGTGTTCGACATACTGAGCAAGAAATTTTTAAATGGTATGAAAGAGAACGAATTTTTGATCGACCAGACATCGAGCCTTTAATAATCAACTTTGAGAGTGATGAAAATTCAGATTCAGACAGCGCTGAAGAAAGAAACTCCGACTAACTTCATTGTACAGAAAAAGCTTACACCAGTAGCTTACCTAATTTTAGAATGCATTTTTCTGTATGAATTCTGTAAAATAAATACCATGCATAAAATTTGGAGGACCCCATTTGGATTTTTATTCAGTACCTTTAAGCTATCAATTAAATATGGTAGTTTCATAGTGTCATCTGATCAATAATTGTCATACTTAATGATTATGCAAGTACAGATCTATAATTTTATTATACTATTATTTTTGTTCTCATTTGAGGTTAATATTGCTTATAAACCTAGATATGTAAATAATAAATTTTATTATTTTACAAAAAGTTTGTCAACAATGTAAATTTTTCAACACACCCACCTTGATGACGTGCACGCCACTTTGTTTGGCGTTGACTATATAGAACGTAATACTTAAAAAAATAAATCCCCACATCTGGTGATGTTCCATAGAAAAAAAATCCTAAGATGTATATCATTTTTTAATATAATTTGGAAATCTAAGTCCTCTCTGGGACCCCTGCATTTATTACCTTCATGATCACAGATTAGAAATGGACTCGTTCTCAAATTAGAAACCTCTTCTCTTTCCTTTGCAATACACGTTTTCGGCCTACAACTCAGCATGGGTATTGTTCCTTTTTGTGTACAGTAGCAGTTGTTACAAAGCTCAACTGTTTTTTTCTTCGCTTCATTTCGTTTTGCTTCCAATTCTGCAGGGTAGCATGAGTGTTTTCCATATTCGTGTTTCAGAACTGAGTTTACGTTGGAGGAATCGTTTCGCCTTTTCCAATTCGATACGACCGTTGCTTTTGGATAATATGTGCTAGAAACAATAGAAATTCAGATATCATTTTCACTAAAAATCTACAAGATGTTCGTTTTGAAGATGCAACTTTTTTTGGTAGCAGTTTTTTGACACACCATGTACACAAAAAAATATAATACAAAGAAAACTTCATTACCACGGTCATACAAAAAAGACAGATGGAGGACACCCTACGAGTAGATATTTAAAGTGTCTGTCTGAAGTTTACGATGGCGGCCGTAATAATGTTCTATAAAGTATGTATGTATATATCTACATATAATGCGAGCAGTAGTCATTGCCATTGCCAACGACCAGTTGGGCAAAGAATACAATTAAATTGTTTATTGGGAATTGGCATAACTTGAAGCTTAGTGAACTCTTTTGACGGTAATCTCGAGCTTTCGACACATCATCTTCAGGAGCTTAAACACAGTTATGAAAATAACAACCAATTTAGAACGGATTTAAATTTTCAAATTACTTACTCGTCGGTGAGGTAGGAGCTAAATGGTGTTTTAAAACGAAAGCGGGATAAGAACACTCGTTATAATTATAAAACTCAAAGACCGGACACACTGGGTTTGTCGTTAACGACGGAACACATAGCTAGGTGTTACAACCATATACCAATAAAACCGAACAACTTAAAAATTGGAAACTATACTCAAGTTATTAAAAAACTAACACTACATTTTGGAGAAACAATCAATTCTTTTTTAAAACCTTATATTTGTTGCGCGTGGTGACAGTGAATGAAACCTGACCTGGTAGAAAGATGACAGATGTACGTCATGAAAGAATGTGGAAGTGTAAAAATTATTGCCAAATTTTCAGGTACCTCCTGGTATATTTTGAGAAAAACGCTTGGACACGTCTATTTTGATTTCTAGGGGGACATCTTTTTATCTAGATATAGCCGTACAATCCAGGGTGATACAAAATATTATATGTATATTATAGAACGTACAGTCATCCGAGAAATAAATATTAAGTAACATATTTGCATTTTTGCTTAAGCGTTCGGACATTAATTCGCAAAACTCCATCCTTCTGTCAAAATCGTCTTCATTAAGCTCATGGACAAGTTATATCTTGTACGGGTGAAATTTATTGTCTTTCAAAATCCTTTGTTCTGTTGAGCGTGTAAATCCTGAACAAGTAGCCAGTCGACGAGTGCTTTGGGTGCTGTCGAGTACACTACTGCTATTTCTGCGGCTTCATTTCTAACCGGTTGATTTTCTCGATGACAATTACGGCGAACATTAGACACAGATAAAGCACAAGCACAACTATGATCACGGTATCGGCCCAATATCCGCAACAGTCATTGAAAATATTAAATAAGACCTATCGGAACCGCACCAGTATCTCTTCCTTTTTTTGGTATGTTCTTGATCATGTAGTGAAAATTTGTTTTCTCTTCGCCAAAAATGTTTTCAGAATATTTTGTCATTATTAGACATTGATATATTTTTGATATTCTTACCTGGGAGTTGCACATCCCATGCACCTTGTCTCTTTACAATTTTGTAATTTCTTGCTCGCTAATGTGTTCTTCATAATAAAAAGTAAAATCACAGAGTAAAATTGAGGTTGACAATAGTTTAGATCGCAGATTTTAGACAATTATACAAGGTCCTCTGCAACTAAACTTGCTTGCTGTTTTGAAATATTACCGGAAATAGGTGTCATGGAAACATCGCCCCTTCTGTTATACCACATGATCGCTAATGGGGGAAACACCGTAAGCTGACTAATCAATACCATAAAAATAATTAGAACGTATGCACTCGGATATACAGGGTTATCCAAATTAAGTGTCCACCATTAGTAGCTTTGTTATTAGTGAAAATACAAAGTTGTTTGAATTAGCAAACTAGTAGCATTTTTAACGCTGGTAAAAATGAGAAATAAAAAAAAAACAATTGAGAGTCGTTATTTTGATTTTTTTCAGTAAAATAACATTTTTTTAAATGGAAACCCCTGTATATTATATTTTTTTCTGTTAAAGCATCAAATTTTAAACAAAAAAGCTTACAATAACTTTTCTCCTAGGTTACAAATTGTTGAAGTTATGGCCTCCAATCTGAAACAATTAAATTGTATCGACAAACTTTATTTTCAACATCAACTTATAATCTTACAAAATACAATAACAATTTTTTTTAAAGAAGATGCTCGAAAACACCACCTTGTTCTTCAATACATTTTTGGGCACGTTTTTCAACTGCTCGAACTGTCTTAAGTATGGTCCTACCATCTATCTGGGTTATCTTTTCCCTAACTGCAGTCTTTAACGCGTCAAGGTTATCGTACCTTCGCTTGTAAATTTGGTTCTTTAAGTAACCCCACAAGAAGTAATCAAGTGGGTTTAGATCTGGTGATCTGGGAGGCCACTGTATTGGGCCATTTGTTCCTATCCACTGATCATTAAAAGTAGTACTTAGAAAATGATAAGTACCTCTGGAGTTGTGGGCAGGTGCGCCATCTTGCTGAAAATGCAGATGATGTCTACTTATAAGATCCAATTCGTCTAAGAAATTAGTCAGAATTTCTGACATAAATTCCACATATCTTTCACCAGTTAGGGTTCCCTCATAAAAGAACGGGCCAACAATTTTTGAACCAATTATACCGCACCAAACGTTGAAACTGAAACGGACTTGTGGGCCTCTTGGATGTACTAACAAAAGATTTTCTCTTGACCAATAATGGTGGTTTTTTCTATTAAACATTCCAGAATTTGAAAAATTTGATTTATCTGTCCATAAAAGGTAACGAAAGTTATTTACATTTTGGCGACAGAAGCTAAGATACCAATGGCAAAAAACAAGTCTTCTCTCTGGATCCCCTGCCAAAAGCGTTTGAACTGGTCGGTACTTATACGGAATGAATTTGTATTTTTTTAAAATCCTTTGAACAGTACCATAACTGAAATTAGAGTCCTTGAGAATATCTGCTATTGAATTCTCACGATAAGCTTCAAAATATCCAATAACTGCAATTTCCGTGGCCTCGCTTATTATGAATTCTTTTTTTGCCCTTGTTTTAGCAAAAACATTTTCGTTGCCCCTAAATTTTCGATAAAGTCTCAGAAAATATCGTTCATACGGTTGAATGCGAGCGGGATATAATTCTCTTGCTCTCAAGGAGGATTTTCTGCACACTATATAGCATTCTAACATATCACACTTTTCTTCATGGGAGAACATTTTTCTTTAAATTAATGACACAATAAAGCTTATAAACAAGTATTTACACTAATGTTTGACATTATTTGATTTTATCATTGTTTTCCAAAGCCTTCTAGTTGCGAGTATGTCCAGTTTAACAATTTGTCGCTTATCTTAATGCTGTCAAATCGCGAACGCCATGTTGTTTTCATAGCCGTCTTAATATTATAATACTGCAAATAATTAAAAATATTTATCGTTATTTTGACTTTATTTTTGACTTTAGCGGAAAAGTCATTATGAACTTTTTTGTTTAAAATTTGATGCTTTAACAGAAAAAAATATAATATACAGGGGTTTCCATTTAAAAAATGTTATTTTACTGAAAAAAATCAAAATAACGACTCTCAATTGTTTTTTTTATACAACTTTGTATTTTTACTAATAACAAAGTTACCAATGGTGGACACTTAATTTGGATAACCCTGTATAGTGCTGTCATATTTTAGGAATAAGAAAGAAAACTGTTTGGAAAGTAACTGTTATCTCAACTAGTAAAAAATGTGTCGGCGTCCAAAAAATTAATCGAGATATTATGAGATATCCTGGCGCCATCTCCGAAAATTTGTGAAAGCTATCTTTCTCCTCTCCGCAATAAATTAGAAATCGACTTTGAAAAGGCTAGTGGCTCCATATATAGACTACCGGATGAGCATAGTAGTTGGCAACAAACTACAGCCATCTATGAGACACTAACCTTTTCAAAGTAGTTATATAATTATTACAGACGGAGAGGAGAAACATAGCTGTGAAAGATTCTCATAGATGACGCCAGAATATCTCATTTCATCTCGCATAATTTTTTGAACATCGAAATGCAACACGATTTAGCTATAAAAGAATCGCAATGGATCGCTGGACAAACATTACCTCAAAAATTATCTCGACCCTTCTTGCACAAATGGTTTTATTTTTTATTTTAAGACATCGTCGGAGGGAATATGATAATATACAAATATTGTCGTTTTTATGCAGAGAGGGATAGGAGTTAACAGCAATCCTTGTCGTTTCTTAACGGCGCTGTTGGCAGTTTTTGCAAAGCACTAACATTTGTAGCACAGTAAGTGTTCAACCTTAGGTCTTTTCAACCGTTCACAACCTTGTTTCTGTTATAGTTTTATTTGACTAAAAGCGTATCTCGTTCAAACCTGCACGTATTTCTACAATAAATAGGATGGATAGGAAGTACCAAGGGCGTATGCAGGATTGCTACTAGTGGAGATGTCTAGGTCCCACAATTAAACTTTCCTCCTCTCGCTATACGCTTTCAAGATAAATAGAAAAATAAAAAATTACCATTTCTAATAACAAAAAAGGCTAGCCTTGTGTTTTTGTAGTAGAACACGGGATAACTTGCCTATATCTATAGGAAGGGGGAGATTGGGTCATCAGCGGTTTGATGACATGTTATACGGACACTAAAAGAACGACCTTAAAAGTGCAGAAAGCAGTGCTTTTTTATGGTACACAGACAATAAAGGCATGGTATTGACAACGTGCTATGAGCGTGGTTGCTATAGACATAACGTTTAGATATCGAATACGATGACGCTGTGGATCAATATCATGGCCACTGCGTTAAATTCCCCATTCATAATCAAACCATAAATAGTATTCACCAATCGTTCTCGGGTCAATATGAAATTTCTAACCCAGAGGTTTTCAAACTTATTTCATCTACTGCCAACTTTGAGAATCAATTAATGCATAGCGTCGGTGCACCTGAAGCTTGACATAATCCTTCCAACACTGGCGGATTTAGTAGAGGGGGTCGCGGGGGTCGCGCGCCCCCCCTGGACGTCGGACATTTGCTTTTGCAATCCAACACCATTGTGCTAGTTTCTGTCACATCATGGTGACAAAGGCATACTAACTATAAGTTATAGCTATAGGAACTGAGCATTCTGATTTTTTGGTATCCTTTGGTATTCCGAATGCTGTCCCTCTTTGACATCACTTGTTTACAGCACAACTTTTACGATTTATACGTATATACGAGTATTGTGTCAAATCTAAGTCTGGGTAATATATTAGCTTTACAGATTGCACTTAAAAGGTGATTTATGTTCTGTTTGTTGCTCAACAGTAATTTGTAAAGTGTGTAAAGCTTGACTGATTTTGTTCGGGGTTGGTGTTGCAGCGAAGCACTATGTTAGATGAATGCCTAAATTGGAAATAGACATTTATGAGATTTGTTTAGCGGTGCGCCTGTGGCCTGTCTAGAAACTGCGTCGATCGATGCTCAAAATCAATACCACACGTCCCACATCTCTTCTCGCATATGTATCTATTTATGTTGCTATATTGAATTCTTTTAAATCACAGAGCTGCTGCACTATACGTGAATATGTACAGCTCTGTATTCCTGTACTTGTTTAATACAAACATACATTATCAAAATAATTACGATCTAACAGATTTAGTTTTTTAGTAATTATTTAGTATTTCCAACATTTATACATGCGATCAACACCGGTTCGAAAACTGAGAAAACAACTATGCCGTAAATCTAAGTTCGCCAACGAAAGTCTGAAAAATAACTGTAACATCTATATTGAATTTCGAAAACCCCAACCCCTACTAAGCGGGGCCGTGGCCAGTGATTGTACACGCGTTAAGGAATACCTCAGTACCGATTGCCGGGTGGCGGTACAAGTCCGCCAACGGGCCACTCTATACCTAATAGAATTTTTTATACGAATTCAACGATGTATCACATGTTACATTTATTTTCTTGGTTATAAGGAAAAATGCGTCTATTCAGATTTTTTTTATTTTATTTCTGTTTAGATAGGCGTTGCAAACAAATGCATGACTTGACGTAAATATCTATCACCGAGTATTGTTATTATTGTTCATTTTTAATATTGCTTGATTATCGTCAAAGGTACCAGGCGGTCTCTTTAGCTATGAAAAAAAGTTCGAATGCCTACGTGCTACATTTTGTGCAGGATTTGCCAAAGACTTAGACCAGGGAATAGCGAACGGCGCCAGCATTTTTGTAAGTGGTACAAACGAACATGTGAAAATTTTAATTCCCCTTCAAAAATTATATGGTCCGACAAGAGTATGGTCACTAATAAACAACACTCATTACTGAGCTTAAGAAAATACATATGGGGGCTAAAAAAGTATCCAGACATCAAGAACGTTTTGGGTTTAATATGTGGTGTGGAATTTTAGGGACCAAAACATTAGATCCATCATTTACCACAACTTATTAACTGCAAGCCGTACCTTCAATTGTTGCAGCATGATCTAGAAGACTGCCCGAATAATGTACCTTTGGCACAGATAAGTAGCTATTGTCTTCAATAAGATGATGCTCCTGCACATAACTCTAGGTAAGTTCGAGGGTGTCTTTCTCAGCGATTTTCCAGAAGGTGGATTGAAACCTCCAGAGAAGTGTCCTGGCCAACGCGTTCCCCGGATTTAACT